ATTAATGTAATGTAATAAGTAAATAAGTAATAGTTAGAGTTTTATATATGGGCCCCCAGGAACTTGGGGCCCTAGGCAACTGCCTGGTATTGCCTAATGGTAAATCCCACCTTGGTCTAGACAGAACCGGTCCTGATGCAGGTCCATTTCGCCGTCTGAACCTGTTTTAAAACCATGGGTTCCTGTGCCGCTGTTCCTAGATCTGGATCAGAACAGGCCTGGGCATCACACTGTGGTCTAACTGGGTTCTAAATGTTGGAAGGAACATTTATAGAACCATGTCATATAGAACCACTGGCAGAACCAGGACCTTAACCCGGTTATTGTGTAGTTAAACCCAATGAAGCCTGGAGTATGAACGGATCAGAACCACGGTCTGAGGTTTAGTGCCATGGTGTCTGAGCGGCAGCTTCAGGAGTTTCCGCTGACATCAGCTGATAAGAGGAACCACGGCAGCGTGTTCCTCACAGGTTAAAGTCCTGCAGAACGGACCCTGGACCCGTAGAGCTGCTGAGGTTCTGGAGAAGCGGTGAGTTTTGTGGGAAAGATGAAGGCCTCTGGGTTCAGGCAGGTCTGTTTTCCATCCAGCAGAACCATGACAGCTTCAGAGACGACAGAGATAAAAGGTTCTGAAGACGGTTCTGCTGCTTGTCGTCAGAACTTGTTTTCTTTCCCAGGATTACTTTTAGACAGCTGCAGAACTTTGACTCTGGTCCTCTTATCCTCCCACAGATTGAATAAGGTGTTTTATTTTGGCCTGGTTTGTTTCCTGACCCCGATGATGGATTCTAAAAATGGAGCCGCCTCCTCTCCTCCTTCAGGAGCAGATCCATTTTTAGGATTCTATTTTCCTCCTCACACCGGGTCCGATTTAGCTCTCTTTGTAGCTGCTTGTAGAGGAAGGGACAGATCTGGGACGCAGAGCATTTGAAGATGATCTGAAGGTTCTGTCAGGAGCTCCGGCTGGGCGGGCAGCTGATGTTTAATGTTCTGGAAGAGGCGGCTCGTCTCTCAGGCTTCAGTCTGAAATTATGTTTTTCTGTCGGTTCCAGCAGCTTGGAGAGTAGCAGAGGCAGGAAGCTGCAGAGGAACTCACCGCGCTCGGCTCCGTTCCTCCTCTGCAGAACCTCTGCTCTGAGGCCTTTCTGATCGCAGTCGACCCGCTGCAGCTATGACTCCCCCGGCAGACCTCCCATTTTCACTCCTCTTTGCCGCCGCCGCTCTCGTGATGATGCTGATGTCACTTCCTGCTTCGGCTCTGGAACCGGAGACGTGTTTCTACAGGGAGCATCAGGGCGCCATAGTGAACGTCAGGCTGGCTTTAAGCAGAGAGGCGACGGCCATGATCTCCCGGAACGCCAGCTCATACAGGGGATGCGTCCAGGCCTGCTGCTCCGAGGAGGTCCAAACAGGTGAGACCAACACGTCCCAGGTAACAGAACCGGACTGGGTCTACCAGCAGCCCCAGTCCATAGAAAAAACCTACAGGAGGCCTGCAGAACCCATGATCAAGACGATCCTGTAGCAGCAGGATGTGATGTCACAGTGAGGACAAGATGGCGGAAGCTAACAGCTATCACTCGTAGCTTTATGAGTCCAGCTGATCCAGACGTGAACAGAACTGGAAGTGGCCTCCTCCATCCTGTTCTCTAGTCTCTAACAGTGACATCGTCCTGCTGCATTCAGGGAACCAGAACTTTCAATAAATACAGAGTAACTTGATTCAAGAATACTAAATAACCCTTAAAAAATAAAAAAGTTCTTCATCCTCTGACATTCAATTTTATTCAGTTTATTTATACAGCACCAATTCAGAAAACATGTTATCTCAAGTCACTTTACAGTTCATATAAAGTGACATGGTCGCTGGCTTGGTGCTCGTTTCTTTCTCGTTTCTCTGCTTCTTTCTGTATCTCTGCTTCTGTCTCCTTGAATCTCAGCAGATGGCCACTCACCCTGAGCCTGGTTCTGCTGGACGTTTCT